CCAAATACTAATAGTCAAAGTTATAATCTGTTTGTATACATGTATCCTTGGAAGCAAATCTTCCCTTTTTCTTTATTCCTTAATGATTCCCATGATGTATTTGAGACAGAACCACAGACATTATTGGGGTGTACTTAACGGTTCCCGGACAACTGAACCAGAAATAAATAAACCGACAACTTTCCTCTGATTAGAAATTTAACTTTAAATAGCTTAAAGTTAAACAGCTTCTGATGTTTAATTTTAAGCTCTTTAAAGAGTCTGTTTTCCCTTGTGCCATTACCATTCACCGCAATGAATATCATCCTTCTTAAATAAAATAATTTATTTAATTATTTGGACTTATAACACATTTTTCTCTGTAATTCTTATTACGTAGAAAATAAATGAAATCCGATTTGATTGTAGTAGGAAGGTTTTTTGACGATATAATACGACTTGCCGCGTTTAACATCGTCATGTAGTACATATGTACTGAGTTGTTCTACCTGGACAGGAAAATAAAAGAATGATTACTTACCTGTATAGCCAATTCGAAGCGGAAGTGACCAATGCTGGAAGAACTTAGCTTAAATATAAAATGTAGCAATCGCAGTAGAGGAATTCAGTTTATGAATCCGATTCTTTCAACTCAGCCAAAATACACTTTCCTAGAATTAGAATTTAACTTAAAACCACTAAATATCCATTCCAGCATTTGAACTATCTTGGAAATTAAGTGCGACTTCTGAATATCTGCGGACATCTTTAAAGAGAGTTCTTCAACTGATAGTTTTGCATGATTTATAAGTAGTTGTAAAATATTTCTAATTCTATGAAAGCCATCAATTTAGCGAATGTTTTTGTCTTGTTGAAAATGGTTAACACAAATCATTCCTTTGACGGTAGTCACGTGCTTTCTGCAAGCTATCTTGGCGACGATAATTTTGTGGCAGACGTCAGGACGTAACCCTGATCATGCCTTGTTAGTGCAAGAACGCATGTGGGTCACATCCAACAATATTTATTATACAAATATGGCACAAGGCCAATGATGAGGGATGTGGAAGACTGGTTTGTCTGCATATGTCTTATACTTAAAGTTAGATAGCCACAATTACTGACCCAAACATACTGCAATATTCCTTACACCGAAACAACACATTATTACTACAGCCACCATAATACCTCAGAGACTCTTATGATGTCCTAACCAGACCCCATATGTAGAAATTGTCTGTGGGAGGGGAATAAAATAACAACTTTTAAAAATTTATAATCCTAATGAATATTTACAATGAAAACAAGATTTATTTACATGAGACAAAACAAAATAGTGTTAGTGATACCATCCCTATCCCAATGGTTAAATGTGGCAGAAATATCAGTTAACTGGACGAAATTAATGCGGAATTTAAAAAAAATCAAACAAATCATTCGACCAAACACTCAATCAACCAAACACTCATCCAAAAAAAAAAAAAAAAAAAAAAAAAACGAAAACAAAAAAAAAACAAAACAAAAAAAAAAACAAACAAAAACACACACACTGGAAAAATGAAAGGCGTCCCGCATCCACCAGAGAACTGACATCTCTGGTCACCTAATGGAGGACGGAAAAAGGAATTAAACTAAAGAAAGAGGGGCCAAAAATAACAGGGTCTCCTAGCTCTCAGACAACTTTGACGGACAAAAAAAAAAAAAAAAAAAAAATGCCTAAACTATCCTATTTGGGGGCGCGGTTGCCAATGTTCCCTCCAGAAATTTCAATAATCAAAATACCACTTTAAGTCAGCACCTTTTACTCGACACAAACGCGTAGGACTTAGTGAGTCACGTCTAACTGGAGAACGAGACATGACAATATTTGTTTTATAATAATACAAAAATATGCCACAAGGCCAGTGATCGGGAACGGAAGTTGCCAGGCTTGTGCAAGTCTTATTTGTAGATCCAATCGAACCTTACTCTTCCTTCTTCCATAAATATTCATTTATACGAATACTTACATACAGCAATTCCCCCAAACCCCACTCTAAGAAAAAAAAAATCCCACATTTTCTCAACGAAATTCCAGCTAACACTTTATATTTTTAATCAAGTGTGTGTGTGTGTTGGGGGGAAAAACAAAAATCAATGGTTTATATTTAAAAAATCTTTCCGTGATAGCGATTTTCCAAGCGTAGCTCAAGGCCGAAAGTATGGGTCAGCCGGTGAGGATCGAACTCACTATTCAGTCGTAATTGTTTTAGCGAGACAAGCTTGCTAACCATTACACCACGTCGATGTGCCCTAGATTTTCCAAGCGTAACTCAGATGTGGCTCAAGGCCGAAAGTAGGGAGCACCCAATGAGGATCGAACTCACTACTCAGTTGTAATTGTTCTAGCGAGGCAAGCTTGCTAACCATTACACCACATCGAGGTGCCCCAAAATTCATCGTGATATGACATGAAATTATATACAGCGAATATAAGAAAAACTTGTCACTATGGGACCCTACCCATCGGCTAAATTATGGC